ACACCAGTCCTCAGGTCCTTACACTGGCTTCCAGTTATATTTAGGATTGATTTTAAAGTACTTTTACTCGTTTATAAATCACTCAATGGCCTAGGACCTAAATACATAGCAGATATGTTCACTGAATATAAACCTAACAGACCACTCAGATCATTAGGATCGAGTCAGTTAGAAATACCAAGGGTTCACACAAAACAAGGGGAGTCCGCTTTTAATTATTATGCCGCCTGCAGTTGGAATCAGCTTCCAGAAGAGATCAGATGTGCTAAAACATTAGTCACATTTAAATGCAGTCTCAAAACTCATCTGTTTAGCTGTGCATTTATTGAATGAGCACCGTGCAATGTCCGAACTGATTGCACTATATTTTATGTATAATAATTTTATTTTCTTAACCGTTTTAAATTAATTTTAAACCTCTTAAATCAATTTTTAAATCATTTTCAAAGTTTTTAAATTACTTGTTTTATTGTTGTGATAATTTTTTTTATTATAATTTTTTTTTCTTTTATGTAAAGCACTTTGAATTACCATTGTGTATGAAATGTGCTATATAAATAAACTTGCCTTGCCTTACTGCAAGATTACTTTACAGTAGTAAAATTAAAATGATTTTTTCCCAAAAGTTCATTGCTGAATTATACATCTGTATCTGTAATTTAATTTATGTATACTGTAATAGACATTGAACTGCAAAAATAATTCCTGAATCCTAGTAAGAGTTTGTTTTGTTCACTGGGCAGGAAAGACATCTCTGTATTTGAACTGTAAGCATTTACAGTTTTTTTCAACTGCTTACACATAACATCTTTACTTGTCACACAATTTCTGAAAGCAGACACTCAAACACCAGAACCACACACCAAATCTGCAAAACCATACGCTAATTCTCGGCCTTTGACTAAGTTTTCAATTTCATAAAACCCTTTTTGCAAAACACAACACACAATTCTCTATGTAACACACCAAAATCTAACAGAGATGAACATTATTGCAAAGGTGTTTGCAAATGTTTGCTTTTGAGATGTGTTTGTGATTTTTGAATACAGTGCTTCATTTTGCAAGAGATGTGAGGCATCTTGCACTTTGTGTGTGCAATTCTTGGATTTGTGTGTAAAGTTTTGAAAAAAAGAGGCAGAATTTTGAAAATGTGTGTAAGCAGTTGAAAAAAACCTGTAAGAACTGTATTAACTGTATTGAAAAGTTTGAAAGACAAATTTATGCTGGCTTGTCTCAAAGTCTTGTTTAAAAAACGTAAATGGTTTGGTCAGTTAGATGTTCTAGATGTTTGCTAAAGTGTTGCTAGTTGGTTGCTAGGCTCTTGCTAGGCAGTTGCTGGGGTGTTGCTAGAGTATATGGTTGATAGTTTGTTCTGGGTGATTAGAGACATTCACAACTCTGTTAATAACCGAAAATCAAATAGTTTCAGTTCTTTAATATTATTGTATTTCTTTCTAATGTTAGGAAATTCAAAAGTTTTTGTTGCTCTTAAACTTGCACTAAACGTGATTATACCATCTAAGTAGCCTATGTAATTTTAATAGAACCGCATGTCTTATTTAGTGATACAAGCTCAGAAGCATTTATAACCTGTTGAAGTTTTATTGACTTGGTGCCATGATGGATATTGAAATGTTATTTATTTTTCATTTTAAACAGTATAGATGATTACTTAATGGTAATACAATATTTGTGAACACAACTGTGTATGTCAGACCATAAATCCCCAAAAACTATGCATGGGGGCTTACTTTGGTGTTGCCACCCCTCATAGACCCCATGCCACCTCTTTGCCACCCTAATAATTATTTTCTAGATCCGCCCCTGCACCTACTGGTTGTTCCATTCATGGATATTGTATTTTCTCTCTGCTGTGTCCTCACCAATCTTGTCACCCCCACACCGATCGCTGCATCGGTTGTTTCTCCCTTGCCTGTCTACACAACGATTCTCATGGCGAACCTGGCAAACTATTCTGGTTCGATGGAGGAGTGCAACGGATTCCTGCTAAAATGTTTGCTGGCCCTTGAGATGCAGCCTCATTGCTTCCCTATGGAGAGAGCTAAGATTTCTTTTATCATCTCATTGGTAACAGAAAGAAAAACTAGTGGAAACAATATAGCAGCAGACAAGTCCTGTCAATTGCTGGACAGCTTTGTTGCTTATTTCATAGAAGTGTTTGGAAAACCCCATGATGATTTGTCCACGAGTGAGGCGTTATCAGTGCCAAGGTAAAATGTCCATTAATGATTATGCTATGAGGTTTTGTATGCTGGCTGCTGCCAGTGGTTGGAATGAGTGTGCCTTGCTAAATTCTTTCCATCAGAGACTATCTCCTTGACTCAAGCTGCATCTCGCTGCATACGATGACAGCATGGGACTAGAGAGATTCATCCAACTTGCCATCTGTGTCTCCCATCGTATGCAGGGGTGTATGTAGACCACCCAGGGTCAGCTCCCATCCTCACACCGCCAACCAGAGTCAGCCAGCTCACCTCATTTCTGGTGAACCTATGCCTCGAGGTAAAATATGTCCACTCTCCTTACCCAAGCAGAAGGACATGAAAGAATACATTCAGGAGAGGCTTCAGCGAGGTTACACTAGGCCATCAACCTCCCCTGCTACTTCCAGTTTCTTTTTTGCTAAAAAGGTCGGAGGCTTGAGGCCATGCATCGATTAACGAGAAATGAACAAGATCACCATTAAGTTCCATTATTCCTTCTTTTCATCCTAGCAGCCCTAGAATATCTTCACAGCTCTTCCATCTTCACAAAACTGGACCTCCATAGCACATACAACCTCATCTGGATACGCAAGGGGGGTGACTGGAAAACAGCTTTTGTGACCTTTACAGGCCACTACAAGTATTGCGTCGTGCTGTATATTTCAGGACTTCCTGCAAAAGGTGCTCCGAGAGTTTCTCCACAGGTTTGTGCTGGTCTACATCGATGACATCCTCATCTACTCTCGGAGTTTGGCCGAACATTGCTGTCATGTTACAGAGGTCCTGAAGAAGCTATGTGAGTACCATCTGTTCCTCGAGGCAGAGAAATGTTATTTCCTCAGTTCCACCATTATGGTTCCACCAATGTCTCTGTCCTGGACAATCAAGGCAGACAATGCCTTCAAGCAATTGAAGCTGGCATTCACCAGTGCACCGCTCCTGACACATCCTGATCCATCTAAGCACTTCAAGTCTCAAGTCTCAAGTCTGCTTTATTGTCAATTCTTCCACATGTACAGCACATACACACATTGTTGAAGTTGATGCTTCCACCACCGGAGTCTGAGCAGTGCTTCCCCAGCAGCAGGAGATGCCAGGAAACAGAGCTCCTCGCCATTAAATTAGCGCTCAAGGAATGGAGGCACTGGCTTTAATGTGCATGTCATCCATTTACTGTTCTCACTAATCATAAGAATCTTCAATATCTCCACAAAGCCAAGCGTCTGAACCCCCGACAAGCAAGATGGGCTTTTTTCTTTACCCAATTTGATTTTCAAATTTCTAATTGTCCAGGCAACAAGAATGGTAGAGCAGATGCTCTCTCCTGACTCCATGCTCCTGACGATCCCTCCAAGAATCCTGAACCCATCCTGTATTCAAAGACAATTTTGAGTCAGAGTGAGTGGACACCTGTGGAGACTCGAGCCAGTGCCTCTGAGATCCCTCTGCCGGGATGCTCTCCTGACAGAATCAGACTCCAAAGAAATCAGACCATGCATTCCAACCTCCACTGTTCCTGTGGTCCAGGGAACCATCCAATTTACCATCTGTGGATTCCTGGTTCTGGGAGAGCGAGAGGGTCTGGGATTTTATATACATTTAAACATTCATAGATATTTTAGAGCACCTAACTCCACCCCGACCCTAAACCTACCCACTTTTCAGCAATATAAAATGCATAACAGGCAAATCAAAATACAGTTACCGGTAGTTATTCCAAAAAGATATGAAGAACAGTGTGAAGCACATTGATTTAATAGCTGAAAATTATCCTGCTCCATTAAAGCAGTCATATCTCATTCAAAAGAACTTTAAGCTACTACTACCAAACTTTAGCATGACGCAATCGGTCACGAGACACACAAGAGCCAATGGCATTTCACAACCAACGCTGATGTAACCCTGCTTCTGGCGGCAATTTTTGAATGTGTTGCAAGTCGGACGATGGAGGCTGAGATTGTGTCTGTTGCTCAAACAAATCAATCGTTTGGCCTTGGAAGACTTGGAGTATTAATACTTTTTAAATAAACTGTGGCTGCAGGTGTATCAGTCTTTTAAATTGACAAATGGTTAGGTTTAGGGCTAGGGGTTGGGCTATGTGTTCAATAATGTCTAAATAGTGTAATGTTAATAAAACATGTTGTGTCTGATTACATTGAAAATCATAACCCAACATATTTCACTGTCAAAATTATTACCTAATATATAATTTCATTAGTCTCCCATTAATTTCCAATGTAGTCATTTTTGACCACGAGGATTACGAAGTGTTTATTTTTCAGGACCATGTAACCTTTTCAAATCATCACCATGATTTTTGTTTTTTTGTGTTTTTTCATTTGCCCTTCGCAAAATTCTAACTTACCTAGAAAATAAAGACAGCTATATCAGAAACAATAAACTCCATAAACTATAAACAAGCTGCATAACCTGTACCTGTCTTATGCACTCTGTAACTGGATACTGAGCTTCCTAACCAGTAGACCTCAACATGTCCCCCTAGGAAAATACTCCTCCAGCACCAGCATTATGAACACAGGCACTTCTCAGGGCTGTGTACTCAGTCCTACGCTGTACACTATTTTCACACATGACTGTGTTGCTACCCATCCTAACAACGTCATCATAAAATAAACTTATTGCAAACAATGATGAGACTGCATACCAGAAAGAAGTGTCTGAACTGGTCTCATGGTGTGAGGCTAGCAATCTCACACTGAAAATCAGCAAGACCAAGGAAATGGTTGTGGACATGAGGAGGAGTGAGCGTGTCTATCAGCCTCTACTAATCAGAGATGCTGAGGTTGACAGAGTGGGCAGCTATAAGTTCCTTGGTGTACACATCTGTGAGGACCTCAAGTGGACAGAGAACACAGAAAAATTAGTAAGGAAGGCCAATCAAAGAGTGTACTTCCTTAGGTGGCTAAGGAAGTTTGGCATGTCACCACAAATACTCCATAATTTCAACAGATGCACTGTGTGTGCTAACTTGCTGCATTGCTTTGTGGTTTGGCAACAGCACAACACATGACAGAAAGGCACTACAGAGGGTGATAAAGCTGGCCCGGAAAACCACAGGGACAGATCTCCACTTACTGCAGGACATCTACAATAAAAGGATCCTCAAATGGGCTTGCAACATTCATCAAGGACACCACCCATCCCATCCACAATTTCTTCACCCTCATGAAGTCTGGCAAGTGGTACCGGAGCACTGCGGCCAGAACATCCAGACTCCAGAACAGTTTATATCCCCACGCCATTAGACTGATAAATAGTCAAAACTCACTGATAATTCCACCTGTATCATCAGGATAAAATCAGCCTGTTCAATGGCACTCTGCACTTTACCTGCTGGACCATCATACACACACCTCATAATGCATTAGACTGATAATCATGAACAATTTAAACACTAGACTTTACACTGACGATTTATCAGCACTTGACACTTTAACAATGTCACTTGCACTGCATCTTTATACTGTGAATAATTTTTATTGTCAATTGTTTTTCTAATTTGCATACAGGTTCTTTTTTTCTTTTTCTGTTATCTATTTACTTTTTATGCTATTGATATTTATTATACTATTCTTTTTGGTTTATACTTTACTGTATGTTCTCTATTTCTTTTGTTATTTCTATTGTTCTAGTAAGTTATGTTTGTTCCTCTTCTACCCTGTCACACTCGTGAGGAGTAAACAAAGAATTTAATTGTATTAGTACATATGATAATAAAGCTCTTGAATCTTGTGTGTTTATGCGTGTTTACATAGCAAGTGCCAAAACCTTGAGCAAGTTTCATACTGAAGTTAAAAAAAATCTAAAAACAAAAAGTAAAATATTTCAGTCAAAAATTATAGAAGAGCACCAGAGGGTTAAATGGTATTAACACTTTGAATCTGCACATAAACTAAACTATAATTAATTACAGGGCATATTTGCCAACATTTTGCATTCTGGGGCATTTTTATTCATTTTGCTGGTATTTTTGCCATAAATCCTGTTTATTTTAATTTAGCTGAAATCAGATTACGACACAGGGGACTTTACTATCAAGTACATCCTCTCAGGTGAAGGAGCCAGTGAAATCTTCAAAATTGATGAGTACACAGGTGACATTTACTTATCACAACGTCTGGACCGTGAGCTGAAACCCTTCTACATACTACAAGCCCAGGCCATCAACCGCAGCTCCAAGCAGCCTGTTGAACCTGAATCTGAGTTCATCATTAAAGTCCAGGACATCAATGACAACCCTCCAGAATTCATTAATGAGCCCTATGTATCCAGCATCCCAGAAATGTGTCCCACAGGTGTGTTGACCTCTTTTATATATTTTTGACAAATACTAAAGAAAAAAGACAACAAAATTATTTGAGTTACTGTTCTTTATATTTGTTCAGGACTCACAACCAAATATTCACAGAAAGCTTGTTTGATATTTGACATATGAATAGAATTGTGGAAAATCCAATAACATCCTAGATAATACAGTTTTTTGCAACTTTGATGCATCTGTCTACAGAGAGTCATTTCTGTTCCAAAATGTCAATACACAAAGAATAGAGAAATAGTTCCACCAAAAAAAAATTGGTTAGCACTTATGCTGATACAGAAAATGGACCTGTTGCAACACAGTTGACAACACAACATTTTATTTATTTATTAATATTATTTATTTTTTAAATTAAAAAAATCAGGGTTATGGTGCAGCACTTGTAAGACAAATGATTTGAGAAATATAAATTTCCCTGATATTTTGACACAAAGTCATTGTACTATTAAAATATACTGTGCATTTTAGAGCTCAAAACGTCCTTGTTGGTCAAACAAATAGCTTTTATTAAAACTGAACTGCTAAAATGATTTGTTTTCTACTTCCGGGTCTTTTTTTTATCTAATAGAGATAAATACTGTACATCAGCACAGACACAGATCAGCACCTATTTCTTCACTGTCGCCTCCTTGCCTTCATGTTCTTCATCATCACCCACTGACATGTTAGTAAAGTGACAGGCAGGAAAAGTACAACAGGATCACTATACTAAAAATGCAAGTTTAATGCAATGGAATAAGTTGCAAATATAATCAATATTTCTAATTATTAGTTAATCATCAGATGTAATAGTAAAATGTAGTAAATGTAGTAAGTGTTTTCAAAACAGTGCTTATTCAACACATTATTGTTTGTATTTTAAACTGCAAAGAAGAAAAGAAAGAGAAAAGAAATTCAAATTCAAAATGAATTTGTGCTGTAATCAAGATTATGCTGTTAACTTGCAGTAACTTGAGTTACTGTCTGTCAATATGATCAGGTGTTTTTTGTTTTTGTTGTTTTTTTTATGGACAAAAGGTACCCTTAGCTGTTGAATCTTTAGTGAACTTTAGGTTTAGTTCATTTTAGTTTCAATAATATGCTTTTAATAGGGGCCAACAGAGGTAAACAACATATTTTAAACTAATAACAGTCCCAAAAATATACAAAAGGCAGCCCCACTCGTCACAGCAGCAAAGAAGAGACAGGACAGAAGACAGCTAGGAGCAATTGTAGTGACACTAAATGGAATGATTAAACTTTAATCATTAAAGAAAAGAATCACTGAAGGACTTGTCATAAATAAGAAACAGACATACAATGGCAGATTCCACGAGAGTAACACATTCAATGTGTGTGAATAAACCAGCATTTGCTCATTAACCATTCTCTCTCTTTACAGGAACCACAGTTATCCAGGTGACAGCCACAGATGCTGATGACCCTATGTTTGGGAACAATGCTAAACTCATCTATTCCATCCTGGAGGGGGAGCCCTACTTCTCAGTGGAACCCAAAACAGGTGCAAATCTTATGCTTAGCAATAACCTATATGCTATAAACAGGCACACATAAAATTATCTGAATCTCAGTGCATTAGGTGCAAAATATAAAACTAAATGGCATTTATGTTAAATAAAGAAAATCGTAAATACAGTATAGTAATGAAAATGAAGACCCTGTGTTACAATGAAGTATTGTGAAACATGCCCATAGTGATGTGATAAACTAGACCTGTGGTTACTCTGCTAGGACACCTGTTTCAAAATCTAGACAGCTGGGGTCTAATTTATAAATGTTGTGTATGCACAAATTGGGCTTAGAAATATGCGTACGCAATTTTTAGCGCACATATTTGGATTTATAAAAAATAAACACCATAAATATGTATGCACAGTAAGGACATTCTAGACCATGCGTACGCACTCTTTTTCCTGGAGTGAGAAAAGTAATGAAGTAAACAATGCTTTTAAACTCTGTTTTCATTTCGATATTCACATTTACATAAAATATTCCACTCATTAATGGAAATGAACACTGAAATTACATAAAGTCATTACGCAGAAGTTAAACAAAAATGAAATAAATGTAGACTTATTTTTAAGCGAAGAGTGCTTTAGGTGCACAGGAATTCATCTTTAAACTAAACCGCAGATCTCATGTTATGAGAAAATATTTTTAGTGAGAACAATGATCAATGATGCGTACTTACTTCGATATTATGGCAGACAACTGCTGGATTCAGTGGTCAAACGGTCCATTGTTCAGCTTGAATAGGTCTAATGATAGCTTACTGTGCAACCACATCTGAACAGAGGTGTTGATGTCGTGTGAAGGCATCTCCACAACAGTATGAAAAATACCACTGTATTTGAAGGATACAACTTTTAAAAAAATACTTTGTCAGTGACGCGCTGAGTCAGACAATTCTATTTACACTGCATTAAATATAGGCTAAAAATAGCTAAAAGATGTTCACCTTATCAGCAAAACTGCCTCAATTTAATTTGATTTAAATTGTTTAAAACAATTGAAATACTATTTGGCCAGTGGAAAAGAATGAGCTCAACTCTATTTTAAAATATTTATCTGAGAACTATTTGAATCAGTTTTGTTTTTATAGATATTTTGGTATATTTATTCTAAAACATAAGGATACTGGATGATTTTAAGCAATAATAATTGTGTATGGCACAAATGCCATTTATAGTCCATATCTCATGTTCCCTAAATGTCTTGTACCTTTGACGGTGTTAAACATGGTGTCACGTGGATGGAATGTGCATGGAAATGATATGCAGATGAGGTTATGCATAGTAAAACTAGGCATTGTAAGCTCCATATATGGTGATTTTCGGGGAGGAGTCGGGTTGGAGATGCACGTACGCACAATCTTCCCGAGTGGGATTTATAAAGGGATTTTTGCCCAGGTTCTGGCATACGCATGGTTTTAAAAATCTGAAAACTTTTGTGCCTTCGCAAAATCTAGCATTTGTGCATACGTACACTTTTAGGATGAAATATACATTGAGTTTTATAAATGAGACCCCTGGTCTTTTGGTTTAAAACATTTTGTGGCAGGGTCATGGCAAAACTTATGCAGCACATGACCTCTGCTTTGTTTTTCCCCATGTGCTTCTCTTTCAGTTTCTTGTGTCTCTGGTCCTCCCCTTGCTACCCTGTTATTAAGATACAAATGATTGCTTTTTACATATTTTTAAAGAATACATTGGGTAATCATTTACAGTGTAGGGTGGATAAAGTAAGTGAAGCCTCTAATTTAGTAACTTGTTGATCCTCCAACTTGTTGAACAGCAAAGCCTTAACCAAACATTTCCTGTAGCTGCCCATAAGACTTCTGACCAATATGTACTAATCATGTAACATTCCTTTCCATAAACCCTAACAGCCCTATTTAGGTTATGGCAAATCATCAAAATTGTCGCAAGGTTGTCACAATCAGCCAAATCGTTTGGGTTACAAGGTTTAAAATGCGGTTAGATTTTACTGTATGAAATTTGTACATCTTAAAAGAATGACATAAAACAGATATAGGTTTCAATAAAATTGCATATTTACATAGTTCACATGAGACTTTAAAATAATAACAATAAAACTAGGAAAACTCAGGCCATTAAAAGCATACAGTTTATTGCACCATACCCTAAAACAGTCCAAGAATCCTAATGCAGAGCCGATCCTCCCTATACGCAAAATACGCAAGCTGGGTAGGGCCCCCGAAACACCAGGGGGCCCCCTTGCTCTCAAAGGTGATTTAATTTTAATCAGACAAATCATGTTTATGCAAATGTCGTACTGTCTTGCTCGAGACTAAAAAAAACGAGTTGAAAGCTTACCGAGCCGCGGAAGAAACACTGTTTCTCAAACACTTTTCACGAGCGCGATTCGAGACGGAGTGAATCACGGACAAATGCGTTTCATTCATTTGTTCAGAACCACTCATTGTTCAGCCGTCCATCAAACTGAACTGAATCAACATTGAACTTACTGAAGCTGAATAATGACATTGGTCCCTTATATATATATTGCACACGACAACACAGCACGGAAACTTTTGTTAGTAAAATAGCTTCGACAGGCTACTGACTCGCAACGTTATATTTCTCTTCAATGAGGGAGTAAAATTGCTGTTTTTGAAGGAACTAAGCCTCATTGCTTGTAGAGAGACGCGCAGGTGCAGGTTCACGCACGCAGCTTTCATCTCTCTCTCTCTCGCACGCGCTAATTCAAATAAATGCGATCTTATCGCACTGCATCTCTGTGTCTGATTTAAAGCAGGCCGAATGCTAACGAGCCTTTACTGACGAAAATGACCATAATTTGCACGATGGAAGAATTATCGTCTTGTCGTATACAACCATTCTCTCGGCAGAATTTATGTGACCGCTGCACCTGATGTTCATAAACTTTCATAACTGGTAAGGGTTTTTTCTTTTGCCTTGTAAACTGGCCGAGCCTTAATTATTCTGTTTCTTTACATGTATTTGCTTACTGAGCCTTGCCTGCAATCGTGAAATACAGCATTTTTTTTTAAATTGGCTATTCGTTGTGGGGGAAAAAGAAAGATTTCGGGTTTGGGCTCTAAATTTAACTGTGCCGCTCGGGTCGGGTCGGGTCGGGTCGGGTCAGACGATCTCGGGTACGGGCCGGGTTCGGGCTTCA